ACGTGATTTCACCCTGGGATGACACTGAGACACTGCTGAGAACGGGAACAACTCTCTCAGGAGCCAGACCTGGGCCTCGCTGGGCAAGGGCAGGATTTAATTTGGCATCTGACCCCTCCCTAAATCAGCACCAAAACTGGAATTTCACGAACCAGGGAGGGCTTTATCAGGGCAAAGCAGTGGCTGCCTGGTGGGGAAGGATGCACTGAACCTCTCCCAGGCAGAAGAGAATCTCCTGCACCTCTTCCCCAGACTGACACCTCCTGCACTAAGGCTTGGAAAGCAAAGGGACCTGCCTACAAAACCCCTCTCCAGGGGGATTCTTGTGTCCTGCCTACAAAACCCCTCTCCAGGGGGATTGTTGTGTCCTGCCTACAAAACCCCTCTCCAGGGGGTTTCTTGTGTCCTGCCTACAAAACCCCTCTCCAGGGGGATTGTTGTGTCCTGCCCACAAAACCCCTCTCCAGGGGGATTGTTGTGTCTCACAATCTCCTTCCTGTTGTGTCTCACAACCTCCTCGTCTCCTGGCGAGTCCCAACCCTTGGCCAGACCCTACAGCAGCAGCACACCGAGCCCAGAGGAGATTTTGGCAGCTCCTGGGTCCTCTGCACTGCTTTTCTGAAGCCTTTTTTTTTTTTCCCCCCTAAGGGCAGAAAGATAAGCAGGAGAAAGGAAGAGCCTCTGGAGTTTCTCTCTCCAGCTCCGTTTTTCCTCTTTATTTGCCACCTTTTCACTTCGCCCCAACCACCTCCTCCCTTCTGACAGCTCAGGGAAAACTCACACTTCACACGCACAGAGAACACACAGATCAAACCCGACCCGATTCCCGCTCGTTTCAGTCCCGCACAACCCCTTTCCACGCTTAGAAACATTTACAGAACCACTGGATGGGTTGGAAGGGACCTTAAAGAATTCCACGGGCAGGGACACCTTCCCCCAGCCCATCCGACCCCACCAACCACCCGCCGCTTCCACGCAGAAATTTACGGTTAAATCGATGTTTAGTGAACCACGAGGTGTGTGTCTCGTAGCCCGCTTCGCCTAACGGCCTTTCCTAATTAAGCCGCTTTGCTAATTAGCGCCTCTGTCACCCACGCGTGGCTCGTGAGGGATCCCGGGCGCGGATCAAGCGCTGCCCCGGGGGGGGGGGGGGGGGGGGTGGGAGTTTAATCTCGTGTTTGTGGATGCTCAGGGGAACGGGGAATCCCGAATGACACCTGTCCGCGGGCAGATAAGGCGATCTGCGCCCACATCCAGCGCGCCCCGAGGTGCGGGAGAGCCGCAAATTGTTTAATAACACAGCGGGGCCATGTGCGAGCGAGCCCTGCTTCCTCCTCCGGGAGCTCGGGGGAAAAGTGCAATAAAAACCCACAAGGAAGCTCGGCTCCGTCAGCCGCCCCCGGGCAAGGGGAATAAAAGCGAATAAAAGCGAATTTTTACGCGAAACGCGGCGTTTTCCCCGCGCTGCCCCAGCACCGGAGGGGCCCCCTCAGACCCCGCTCCCACAGGAGCCCCCCGGGGCTCCTTCATGTCGCGACAGACCCGAGCGGCGCGACAGCTCCCCGGGGTTACCCGACATCCCTTTTCCGCTCAGGGGAGCCCCCTCCCAGGAGCCCCCAACCCCCCTCCCGGGGGCCCCGCGCTCACCTCTCGAAGAGCAGCCGCACGGCGAAGATGCCGAGCGCCAGCGGGAAGGCGGACAGGACGTGCGCGGCCCGCGGGTACTGCAGCCCGCTGCCCGGCTCGCCCGCCAGGTCCGCCCACGTCACGTTGTGCGGGAGCCAGAACCGCTCGTTCCAGAACCAGGCCCGCAGCGCCGCCGCCGCGGCCGCCGCGGCCGCCGCCATCTTCCGCCTCCTCCTCCTCCTCCTCCTCCTCCCGCTGCCGCGCTCCGGCGGCCGCCACAGGCACGGGGGCGGGGTCTGCTGAGGACACGCCCCATCCGCGCCCCGCTCCGCCAATCCGGGCGCCGTCACGGAGCCCCGGGGAGGGGCTAGGGAGAGACCACGCCCCCTCCATGACAGGCTCCGCCAATCCGAGTGCGGCCACAGATTACGGGGAAGGGGCTTGGGCGAGGCCACGCCCCTCCCCGTCTCGCCGCGCCACTGCCCGGCCCCGCCTCAGCCCTCAGGGGGCGTGGCGGAGGAGGCCACGCCTCTCGTGGCGCCGTCCAGCCAATCCGAGGCGCGTCACGCTAAGAAACGGGCGCGGTTCGGCGAGACCGCGCCCCCTCTTTAAACAAGCCACGCCCCTCACTCGTCATCCCGCCACTCCCGGCGCCTGCCACAGCTCAGAGGGGGCCGCGCCACAGCCCGTACGCGGCGGGGCTTGGAGAGGCGACTCCCCCTCATCACCCAACACCCAGCCACGCCCCTCATCCCCTCGCCACGGCTCCGGGGGAGGGATGATGTCACCAAACCACGCGTGGGGCGCGGCCAAGATCAAGCCACGCCCCTTCTCCGTCCCGCCCCGCCCACCACGGCGAGCTGTGCCGCGTCTCTGTGGGCGGGGCTTTGTCCGACCACGCCTCCCCCCTCGCCGGACCGTTATCCCGGCGCAGGCGCAGTGCGGCGCCACCGCCTTCCCGCCTCTGCGCACGGCCCCGCGCGGGCTCCTGAGGGAGCGGCGCGAGCGCGTTCCCGCCGTCGCCTGAGGGGACGGGACCGTCGGGGGATGGAGCGGCGGCATAAAACGCGGAATGAGGGGGGGCACAGAACCACTGTTCGTTAATTAACATTCTGTCTTCTGTTGGTTATTGATTTCTCACTCCTCATGCTAATTAGTCCGCTTTTTTTTCAGTAGGAGATAGAATGCTAATTAATGAAGAGAACTGTGTAAACCAATGGGTAAAGAATCCCAGAATATCCTGAGTCGGAAGGGACCCACCAGGATCAGCCAAGTCCATCTGCTGGCCCTGCACAGAATCCCACCGTGGCAGGGTGATGGAACTGGATGGCCCTTAATGTCCCTTCCAACCCAAACTTTTCCATGAATCCACGATATAATTCCTCAGGCAGGCCCGTGTAGGGAAGGGCCCAGAGCTGCCAGAGCAGCCTCCTGTGTGGAGAGTTTATGGCAGGATCCCAAGGATTAGTTTTACCGACATTAACAGAGATGCAGTTTAACATTTACAGCGACACAAACGCCTGGCAAAGTTTAACATATTCCTTTTAGCTTGTGGTGAGGCTCTCAGCCTCTCCACAAAAGTGGTTCGACATCAACCACCTCATGCGCGGCGGCAAACGATCCATCCTTCGTTTAATGGCTCTTCTGGCACCTGTCCAGTCAGAGAGCAAATTAAACGGCCCATTAAGCACTCAAATACTCCCATAACTAATAGATTCAAGGATGGAGTAATTCATGATCTGCTCACTTCTTTTTTTTAACCAATGCTTGAGGCAGTACCGCTCGTGCTGATTTCTCCTTGGTCCGAGTGACCAGGTGAGGGTCCTGGTGCCTCAGAGACTCAGAGATGCCTCAGATTTAACTGAGAAATAATGATTTTGTGATTAAAGTCTCTGCTAAGCGCAGCCAGTGCTGCTTCAGTATCACGTAACCAGGGAGACACTAAAATCCAATCGCGTTTCCTAAGAAACAAGCAGTTGGCATATTCCATAAATCCACATCGAACATTCTTCCCCCCCCTTTTCAAACAGCACAATTTCCAGTCAGAAGGATCCCCAACTGCTTAGTCACTTAAGGGAATCTGACACCAAATGGAAGAGAGAAAGGTGACAGAAAGCAGCCCGGGACTGCACATCAGGTTTCTGAGTTTTCCCTCGGTCTGTGGGTGTCACGTCTCACTTCTCCCGTAAAAAGAAAGGACAAGGAGCAGTCGGTTGTGGGGCTGCCAACACCTCCCAGCTGGGCAGCAGGCTGCTTTTCCCTCCCTGATATCCTTGGCATACACACGGGCAGTTTCTCACGCTGCTGTAGGACTTTCCCTGCTTTTCTTCTGGCTTTTTATCCCCATCTCTCCTGACCAAACCCACCTCAGGCTCATGTTGGGAACTGCAAACTAAGCAGCTGATAGGAAAGGGGGAAAAAAAATAAGCCCTCAGTTGTCCTCAGCTGCCCTGGAGAGCCACCTGGAGCCAGAAGTGGAAGTGAAAAAATCCCTGGACGTCCTTATTCCTTCTGTCCGTCCTGTTCTAATCCCTCCTGTTCTAATCCCTCCTCTACGTTTCCTTGAATTGGAGAGCAGAAGCTGCCTCTGGGAAACACGGACACACAGTGTCACCTAGTGGCACCATCCCCATCCCGGGCTGGCTTCCAGTGACAACGCTGGAATTCCAGTAAGAACACCGGGAATTCACCCATCTTCTCCCTCAATCCCTTCACAGCCCTGGGGAGAAGGACTTGGGGGGGGGTGGAGCTGGTGGAAGAGAGGCTGGAAAATTGGGATTGTGACCTAATTGTGGCTTTCCAGGACTCGAAAAGAACCTGCAGGAAAGGGGGAGAAAGACTATTTCCAAGGGGAACGGCTTCCAAACTGCCAGAGGGCAGGGTTAGATGGGATATTGGGAAGAAATTCCTCCCTGGGAGGGTGGGGAGGCCCTGGCACAGGTTTCCCAGAGAAGCTGCCCCATCCCTGGAATTGTCCCAGGCCAGGTTGGAGCAACCTGGGCTAGTGGAAGTTGTCCCTCTTTAAGGTCCCTCTGACCCAAACCATTCCAGGATGATTCCATGATTCCCACAATCCTTTTAAAAGGAGATGAATCCAGGCTTCAATTTTAATGTAAATGACCGAACTTTATTGAAGGGTTTGTCGGCAGCAGAACTGTTAAGAAAGCAGAATATTTTACACCTCAAGTATAGGTAAGAGCTAATTCTCTTGAGAGTACAGTACAAATAAAAGCTAATACAAAAGGGCCTCCTCCTCCTCCTCCCCGTTCAAGAATTTATTATTTGTAAAATAAACAAAGTCAAGTTTAAAAACGTTCCAAGCCTCAACGCTGGCAAGTCAGAAAGTGTCACTGGTCGATTCCAGAGATTATTTATTTTTTTTTTTTGCAATGCAGCATCATTTCACAGCTGTAAGGAAGAGATTTATGGCAGCTTGATACGAGCGGGATTTCGAGAGTTGTCCAACAAAAAGGCCTTAAAAATCTCCTTTGTGGTTTAAAAGGGTGAGGAGGAACTCCAAATAATAAAAAAAAAAAAAAAAGACAACAAAACCAAAAGAAACAAAAAAAAGAAAAACCACTTGAAATGCAGAAATAATGCCCTGCAGGCTGCTCAAAAAAGTGTTCACTCACCCTCAAAGGGACCTGGCAGCCGGCACAGCTCCTGGGAAAGCACTAAAATACACGTGGGTCCAGCAACGGGCACCGTTCCAGCTGGGCAGGGACCCCCCCAGCCCCTCAGAGGGGGGGTCTGAGACACAAAATTCACATTGCACTCGGTTCCAGGTGCTTTCGTCGTCGGACGCCACGCGCGGAAATGGTTTTTTTTAATTATTATTTTTAAAAAAAAAAAAAAAAATATAAAAGCCCAGTTGTGCCCCTTTCCACGTATTAAAGTGCATTAAGTGACCGTTTTTAAAGCAGGCCAGAAAGTCCCTTTGAAGTTGGTCCCTAAGCACTGCAGTAGCATTTGTAGTGGTACAAGTGGCGTGTTCCAGAGGGCCTGTCCTGGACCACCACGGCGGAATTCCACGGGTTTTTGGTGGAATTCCCTGAGTTGTTTGCTAGTGGAATACGTATTTAAGCTCAAAGGGATGAGACAAGCACAGGACAGCCCGTGGGCAGACACTACCTGCTGCTGCTGTCCCACAGACACTCGTTCCCATGCACCCAAAGAGACTCTTCGCAGGCTTCCAGAGTTTCCCAGTCGAGATAATTTGGACGTGGATTCCCTTGACGTGCAGTGTGGCATCGCTTCGTGGAGGAGAGCTGTTTGTTAAAGCTAAAAAAAAAAAAATACCCATTTCCAAAAGGCCCAGCACCTTGCAGCAAGTTTCCTAGTTAAAAAAAAAGGCCAATTTATTCTTCATCATCATCATCATCTTCATCTTCATAGTAACGGTTCCTTTTGATCTGCTCTTCCACGGACAGATCCTCCACGTCGTCGCCCTCCCAGAAACCCACGTCCTGGGATTTGCGGTGCTGGCTCGGGGAGGGCTCCTTGGCAGTCACCACGTGGGCCAGGCTGGAACGTTTGGGAGAATTTGGTTCCGGGAGCTCTTCCTCTGGGGTTTCCGGCTCTCCCGGTTCCTCCTCGTCCGTCTCCGCGCCCCCCTGCCCGTTCTCCACGACGCCGAGCTCTGTTCTGACCCCACACAACTCCTGCTCTTCCCCCGCGTTCTTCTCCTCGTTCTGGACGTTCCTGTGCTCAACCTTCTTCTCCTTTTGCTCTTTCTCCTCTCTCTCCAGTTCCTCCCCTTTTCTCCGCGTGTCCCTCTCAGCTTTAGGAGGAGAGGGCGAGTTCTCTGCCCTGTGGCCCCTCACGGACACCGCTCTGAACGAGGCCGCCACCGTGAAGGGGCGGCTCCTCTCCTTCAGCGAGGAGGATCTCCTCAGCTTTTTGAGATCCAGATCCACCTCCTCCTGCACGTCCGGCTTGGAAACCTCTTCCTCCGGGGGCCACTTGGGTTTGAGCACCTTGATGCCCTCCTCTAAGGCACTTCCCTGGACGCTCTGGTCGGAGGGAGGGGGCCAGGCGATCCGGAGCTTTTTGGTTTCCGCCGGTCTCTCTTCCCTTTCGGGCACGGCCGAAGCTTTTGCCTCCATACTCGCTGCCAGGACCCCGACCTTGGCAATCGGGGCGTCCTCCACCCCGGGGCTCTGAGGAGCTTCTGTCGCGTTCCCCCCGGGGAGGGTTTTCTCCGGGGACTCCTCACCTTCCGTTTTGCCCGCCCACAGCTCCTTGTGCTGTTTGTGCCCGAAGCCCTCGTCGTAGTTGCCCTTGGATTTGAAGAGCTGGTTGAAGTGGGGTTTGCAGTAGATGTTCCCCCGCAGCGACGCGTACGTCCCGAGGCTGGGTGGGAAAAGAATCAAGAAAAGAATCAAACATTAGAGCTCAGGGCCGCCAGCACAGGCCTCTGCTTCAGCTGTGGCACTCAAGAGACTCAATTCCACCCTCCCAACAAGCTCACAGCCCCCAGGGTTTGTATCCTGCGTGGCTCTCCCCAAGAATTCATCGCCGAGCTGGACGCGCTGTTTTTCCCCCCAGCACATAAAATCACATTAAGAGGTTTAGAAACTGCACCAAAGAGCAGAACCAGGGCTGGGTAACACCCCTGGCAGAACCAGGGCTGTGTGTAACACTCACCTCTGGCAGAACCAGGGCTGTGTAACACCCCTGGCAGAACCAGGGCTGTGTAACACTCACCTCTGGCAGAACCAGGCCTGGGTAACACCCCTGGCAGAACCTGTAACACCCATCCCTGGCAGAACCAGGCCTGTGTAACACCTCTGGCAGAACCAGGCCTGGGTAACCACTCCTGGCAGAACCAGGGCTGTGTAACCACGGCTGCAGTGTGGCCTCCAGCTCAGCTGAGCCTGAGCAGAGGAAAACACCCTCCCCAGGGGTACCTGAGCTTGCTGTTGCAGTAGGAGCAGCGGAAGCAGCTGATGTGAAACACCTGCTGGTTGGCAAAGAGCCTTTCCATGGGGTACACGGTCTTCTGACACCCAACACAGGTCTCCTTCATTGGCAACTGGAATTTCTGCGGGAAGGAGAGGAAAGTGTGTGAGCTGGAAAACGCATCAACCGCCGGGGACTCGGCCTGGGTTCCCCCCCGAGCTCTCCCCAGTGGGCTCTGCTGAGCTACGAGGTGGGAAGAGGCTACAACAGACCCACAGGGGCTGCTGTGGCCCGACAGCCAGCCAGGATTTTACCCCAGTGAGCTCCACAGCTCCACTTGAGCAAGAGCTGGGAGAGAACAATGAAAACAGCAGAGCTGAGCCGGTTCCCAAAAGCTGCGTAACCTCCTCCTGCAGCCTCAGCTTTTCTTGGTGGGAAAATGATGAAACATTCATTACAGTCGATGTGAGGCTTTACCAAAAGAATGAAAATAGTGCAGAACAAACTGAACCCTGGAATGGTTTGGGTGGGAAGGGACCTTGGTGATCACCTGGTTGCTGTGGGCAGGGACACCTCTCACTGGAAGAGCTGAAGCAGCCTCGAAAGGTGGAGGGTGGGAGAGGAAAGGGGTGAAACAGGCTGCTCAACGGTTTGAAATAATCCACTTTTGCCAAATCTTCCCTCTCAAAGAGGAGGAAACAGTGTCAGCCCCGACACAGCAGCAGGAAACACTCCCTGACTTCACTCGTGAGCAATCCCAGCTCCATCCCAAAGAACCCACACTGGGGGTTCAGGACTCAGGGCCCCCAAACTTGCTGAAGGCTCAGAGTGAGCAGAGCTTTTGAGGTTAAACAGCTAAAATTCTGATGTGCTCACTGAACTGCCCTGAGGGTTCAGCAGGAACTGAACACTGAGGAGTGGAGTGGCACTGCTGTGATCTCAGGTTTGTTTTCCAACAGCATCAGGGAAGCAAAAAACATTGTCCATGAGAAAAGGTCCATTTGCTTCTTGGAATCTCTTAACTCTGGCCAAGGGGGGAAGACACTTTGCAGGAAAAATTAAATAACACAGTTGAAAAAAACCTGGCAGTTTGAGGCTGATTTAGTTGATTACAACTAATTTGGCAGCCGGGGAGAGGAGAGAGCTTGGGCTCCACACCCTGCCCAGACACACTCAGAGCCTCCTCCAAACTTACAAAAAGCTTTAAGGAGAAAAAAAAAATAAATCTGATGGCTGAAGAAAAAAAAAAAAAACAGGAAGGTCACAGGAAGACATAATCACAGCAATTTATTTATAACAGTCCAGGAACAATGGTCAGGAACGAAAGTTACGGCCCGAGGGGGCAGATTGCTGAAGGCAGAGCCAGTTTTTGTCACAGCCAGAAAGTTTGCTGCCAATTTAATTCCATTTTAAATGGCATTGCTTGGGGTTAAAATAGATTAAAGTTCTGATTGCCACAGGTTGGCTACCGAAATTCAGAGTTCCTCCTGAAAAAAGAATCCACAATTTCCAGGTGCTGCCAAAACTCTCTGAGTTTTGAGTCCCTAAATGAAATCTCAAAAAAAAAAAAAAATGCTTGCCCATTAAAAAGTCTTCTCCCTGAAGGTTTAAGTTTTCCTTGGTTTTGTACAGTGATGGAGGGCCCTGGTCCTTCTGCAATCACCCCCCATGCAAGGAGAGGGACTTACTTGCACACAGTGGGTTTTATGTCTGTGGAGAGGCATTTTTTGGGGGGGTGAAGAGACAGGAATTCCTTCCCAGGATGCTACAAAAAGGAGCTACAGGAGGAAAGTGAGGCCCAATAAATGTAAAATAGGACTGGAGAGAAAGCTGAGAGTTGAGCTCACATTAGGAGGGAAGCAGAAGGCAGGAGGAGAGGTTTAGGAACCAAGAACAGGAGACAGAAGCTGGAAGAGACAAATAGGAACCTTAGGTGAATAAACAGCAGCTGGGTTTCTATCTCACAGTGCAGCATCTAAAGCAGTAACAAGGATAAAAAGGCTAAAAATGGTTCTAATAACATAAAGAGAGCAGAGAGGACCAGGAACAGAGATCACACAACTCCTCCAGGCAGCTCCAGTTCCCCACCCTGGCATTCCCAGCTGGGAAAGCCACATCTCCCTGATCTCTGAGGTCGGTGCTGTCCCTCCCAAAGATGGGGAAAACCAACAAAAGCCCAGTTGTTTCCTCAGGAGTGAGCCAGGAAGTCTGGGGCAGCCCAGGGGGACCCTCATCCCAGCTCCAGACAGCTCATGTGACAGGGGGATCACGACGGTGTCTAAATCACATTAACAAACACATTCCTGTCCCAAAGTCTGCTCTGTCACTGCCCTGGAGGAACTGGAACATCAAAGACCCCTCAGAAAGCCCAGCCTGACCTTTCCAATCACAGTGCCCTGACTGTGGAGCTGCTCCCAGCTGCAGCTCCCTTGGGAGCAGCTGGAAGAGGAGGGTGGGAAGCCGAGTCCCAGCGTGCTGGAAAGCTCTGGAGATCATTCCCAGGAGCTCAGGGCCCAGCTCTGGGAGCACTGACAGGCTCTGCCATCACCCCCTGCCACCACCCCTTCTCCCACACCAAGGAGGAGCAGAGTCTGTGGGACAACAAGCAATTCCTGACCCAACCTCTGGAGGAAAACCCCCTTTTGAGGTGTTTTCCATCCTGATTTAAATCATTCCCTCACAAACACAGCCTGAGCAGGCATCAGCCCACTCACTGCCAGGCCTCTGTGCCCACAATGAGGGTTTTTCAGCATCAAACAGTTGATTTAAAACCCCCCCTGAATGTCTGAGAGTGAAGAGCTGTGTTACCTTCACGGCTTTGGGTGGGGAGGCCTCAGCCTGGGCAGCTGCTCTGGCACCCACCTTCTGCTGCTTTGTGCCAGCAGGTTTCTGAGCTTCTGCCTCGCTCTCCGAGTTCTGTCCAGCTGAGGGAGCAGAGGAGGGAGAAAAAAAATGCAATTACAGGGAGGCTTTAAAGCTTTAAACCACGGGCAGCTCGTGCTCGCCGAGCATTAGTCTGGGTTAAAAGGTGAGGAGGCTTTTAACACTTAAAAAAGGGTTCAAGCAGAGCAAGCAGGGGTTGCAAATGTCTTAGAATTACAGCTGCAAAAAATTCTGAGTGTGAGAGAAGTTCTTATGAAGTGGGAGCTGGGCCCAGAGCAGATCTGTAGCACAGTTTGTGGATCATCTGAGGGGGCTGAGCTGAAGCATCTCCCCCAGCCCTGTGTGCTCACCGTGGCCATCCTCCAGCAGAGCAGAGGGCACAGAAAAGCTGTTCTCACCTGCAGAAACCTGCAAGAGAAGGAGACAATGAGCTTCTGAGACCTGAACAACCCCAGCAAACCCCCCTGGCTGAGACAGGGACAGACCCCAGGGGCTCAGGGAGGGACTTGCTGGGTTTGCTGTGTCAACACCACCACCAGTCCTGGCTCCGAGGCAGAAAAGCTCAGAGCTGCTCTTGCAATGTTCAGATCATCTCAACAACATCATCACCCTGGTCACACACACAGACATCATGTTCCTGTTTCCCCCAGCACCTGCAGCTTGCACACCTTGACCTCCCACCCTCCACAAATGGTTTAGCTGAGGTTTTTCCTCCCAGGTTTTGGTCTCTTACAAATCCTTCGACCTCCCCCCAGTCCAGCACATTTCCTGGAAATCTCGTGGCTCCCTCCAACATTTGACATTTAAACAGTCAGCAGAGACTGTGCTTTTGGAAAAAAAATAAATAGCAATAATTTAAAAAAGGAACAGCTGAATTCTAAGAAACTTTTGTAGAACCAGACACCTGCTGGGACAGACGTGCTGGATCTGTATCCTGTTCATTCATCCCCTTTTGGAAACAAATTCATATTTAAAAAAAAAAAAAGCATTAAAAAACCTTTTAGAAGAGTTGGATCTAAACAGTTTCAGACACTAAACAGACTCACAGAATTGTTTGGGTTGGAAAAGACCTTTAAGATCACTGAGTGCAGCCTCGAACCAAACACGTCACAGGTAAAGCTCTTGATGCACAGTTCTTTATTAAACTTGGCACTATTGCTGTTAAATCAAATAGTTTTAAGTAGCTGCACCGAGGACCTAAAGCAGAGTAACGAGATTAACTGCAAATCATCACTAATTCACTTTAATGGCTGAAAAGTCCACCCGAAATTTGCAAATTAACGAGTTAATGAGAAGGCAAATTACGTCTGTTAACATACTCTGGCCTGCTGGAAAAAAACACTGTAACCCCGAGCAGATAATTCAGTGGAGAGGATGGGACAGTCACTGGGACAGTCACTGGGACAGTCACACCCCTGTGGCCCCCGAATCTGTCCCGGGGGCAGAGTGAGAAGTGGCAGCTCAGAAGTGTCTTTTGTTCCCTCCCAACGGCTCTAATTGGGCTCATTCCCAAAGTTCACCACAGTCCCTTTTCCAAAGGCCAACCCTGGCTCCCAAACAAGGTCCCATTCAGGTTCTCCTTGCACCTGGACACCTCAACTCTGCAATTACAGCTCAGTGTGAGGGATTTTATTCAAACCTTCCACTCACGAGGGGGCAGAGACTCTGCTTTAATTCTGATTTAACAGGTGCTCTTTTAATTAACTCACCTCTGAGCACGGAGCAGCCTCTGCAGTTGGACCCAGAGCTGCTCAGCTGCCAGGGAGGAGCAGCTGAAAAGCCAAAGGTTTGGCCCCTTGCCCGAGGGAGGCTGGAAAGCTCTAAAAGCCCTCCTGGCATTAGGCTGCCACGTGTTCAGCCTGGCTGGGCTACACAGTACCCCAATTATTGTTATTCAGCTGCTTTTATCCCGTCTGCCCTCCCCAGCTCAGGGCACAAAACGCTCCAGGGCCAATTCACAGGGTCTCAGTTTGCAGCTGAAGCTCAAAAGCAGCAGCAAAGCCAAGCTGCCATTCCCAGTTACCTTAAAATTGAGCTGCCACACTCTCAGTTAACCTTAAAATTGAGCCACTAAATGCAGAAGAAGCAGTGACAAACTCCTTTTGCTCCTGTCACACAAAGCTCTTCGTGGTTTGTTTTCTTTTTGTTTGTTTGTTTGTTTTTTCTGGTGTGGATTCTTTTTGCTTATTAAAGAAAAACACTATCACAAGATAAAACCTCCCAAAAACTACCAACAAAACAAATAAATACCTGGCTGTGAATCATCTTTCCACAGTGAGGGGACAGGACACGAAAAAAACCCTTTAGGTGGCTTCATCACAGCCAAGGATAAACCCAAAAACTCCCACCAGGACAAATGAGGAAAACCACAAAAGCATCAAGGGATTTGGCCACAGGGAATGGTTTGGGTGGGAAGGGACCTTAAAGATCATCCAGTGCCACCCCCTGCCATGGGCAGGGACACCTCCCACCAGCCCTGGTTGCTCCAACCTGGCCTGGGACACTTCCAGGGATCCAGGGGCAGCCACAGCTTCTCTGGGCAACCTGGGCCAGGGCCTCCCCACCCTCCCAGGGAGGGATTTCTTTACTGAAAAATACCCAAAAAACAGGAGACTGAAGGGCTCTGCTACACCACAGACACATCACTGCTGAGCAGACAGAGAAACTCTCCAAGAAAATTTATCTCTGGACATTCTCTTCCACAGAGACAGTCTAAAAAAAAAAAATCATTAAAAATAAAAATTAAAACTCAGGAATTCTGCAGCAGGGAACTCATGTGGAGCAGCTGCTCACATCCAGTTCCTGGGTGGCCTCAGGAATGTGGGACCAGTGCATCAGCTGTGCTCCCACAACCATTTCCACTTCCAGGGAAGCCCCTGATCTCCACCAGCACAGACATCTTACCTTCTCCCCATCCTGACAGGAACTGGAGTCCTCACTTGGTGCCACGTTCTCCTTCTGCCCAGATTTGTAATTCTTGAGTTCAGTCTCACTGGCTTGAATCTCACTCTGTAGGACAAAGCACTGGAATGGTGACAGGTTCTTTTCCCCTTGGGAAAAAACAACTTGCTTCCTTATTTTTCTCAAAATGTTGTGTTTTGGGTTTTTTTTTAAAAATGTTTTTCTAGTACTTAAAGTGATAATTAAGGGAAGGGCCATAAAAATCTACAGATACTTGGTGACACATCCTAATGAGGGGAAAAGGATTGGGCTGCAGGATTTTACTGTGCTCCATGGAGGGCACACCAGTGTTCTCCTTAGCAACCCTTCCAAATTCCTGTTTAAAACCAGCTCTTAAATCCCCTGCCCAGTCCACATCTCCCTCTTCCAGAAACGTGAACTTTTCACTGGGAATGACAAGTATTTCCAGACAAGAAATGGTGTAGCTGCCAAATAAGACTTGACATGAAAGCAAATCCCACTTCTGCTTCAAGTCAAAACCTTCATTCTGTTCTTACCCCGAGGTTCCTGTTCTTGACAGACACACTTAAGATCTCCACAGAAGAATCTTTCAGGCTTAAAAAGAGAGATAAAAATCCAGTGGAACCTCGTGTTTCCTTCCTTGCCACAGGACACAAGAGCAGTGGGAGCCTCGTGGGAAGCACGAGGCATCTCCTCTGGGACATCAAAGAGGAGCAGCCACGGGCCAGCACCAGCATCTCACTGGCTTTGGAGACAAATCTGCACAGAACCAGAGCTCTGTGACTGAATGTTGGAATTGTCATCCTGCCCAGAGCTGGAGATCTGCTGTCCAGCACCTCTCTCCCTCCCCTTCCTGCACCCCTTGCAAGGCCCAGAACGGCTCCTTCCTCACCCTCCCTGCAACCAAGCGCCCAGCAGTTTTTAATCCAGGCCTAATTCCACCAAAATGCCCCAGAACACTTGTTCCCAAGAGAGATTCTGCCTTTCCTTTGGAGCACAGAGGTGAGAAGGGCAGCACAGACCCCACACTTCCATAGCAAAGGAGCCCTGGGTACTTTGCCAGCAGGGAAGGAGAAGATCCTGGGGAAGGAGAAGATCCCAGGGAGGGAGAAGATCCCAGGGAGGGAGAAGATCCCAGGGAAGGAGAAGACCCCAGGGAAGGAGAAGATCCCAGGGAGGGAGAAGATCCCGGGGAAGGAGAAGATCCCAGGGAGGGAGAAGATCCCGGGGTTAGGGCTGCTGCTGGAACACTGGCACTGCAAACACCTCAGGAATCCTTGTCTGCTCTGTTTTACTCTGCCCTTCCCAAAATGGGAAGAGATTCCTCCCCAGGTGGGGCATCCTGAGAGCATCAGGCTGGACTGACCCTAAACCCTGGGGGGCTGCAGGAGCCTCAGGAGGAATCTCCTGCCTCTGGGATAGAGAATTGAAGTGGCCCAGCCACCCCCCTGAGCCCCAAACTGGGAAAGGCAGCAGCAAATGAACCCAGGGGAGGCAGGAATCAGCAATTAGGTTAATCAGATTTGCTGCACTGCCTGCAACAAAGGACTTTCCATTCATGGAAAGGGGAATTTTTACTGGACTCCCCCTCCCACAGCTGGAGAATCAGAGCCACGTGCAGGTGAAATTCAGAAATCACTGTGGAGGAGGCTCTGCCCCTCCACAGAGACCCCTGGGAAGCAGATCCTCCTCCAGGGGAGAACCTTCCCTTTGGCTTTCCCAGCTCAGAAAGGCCTTTGTGCATCACTCTGGCTAATAAAAGCAACACTTGAGCAATAAAAGTTCCCATCATTCAGCAAAAGCATCAGAAACTCCCAGCAAATGTAACCTAAAGAGTTTTTAACAGAAGCTGAGATTCCTGAAGCCTCCTCAGCTGCAACACTTCATTAATTGCTCATTTCCTGCTCAAATACCTGCAAAACAGGCAGAGGTTCCTTCACTGCAAGAGTCTAATTGGATTCAGAGAGAGGTGAGAGGCAAAAGGGAGATTCCTGAGTGGAGATGCCAAAGCCACAGACTTTGGGATCCAAGTTCTGTGACTCTGCAAAGTCACTCCATCAGCTCCCTGTGCCTCAGTTTCCCCCAGCTGGGAGCTGATGGACCAAGAACTGTGGTTTGTTTTTTAAACCAGACCACCAAACATGCAGAAGGCAGAAGAATGCCAGTTATGCTTCAGAAGGATCTCAGCCAGGGTGCCAGCAATTAATTCTTTGGAAAGCTTTCAACCTCATTCCAGGAAGATGGAAAATATATTTATTTCTTCCTGCAGGCTGTGGAGACAACTCTTCATCCGAAATTCCTCCCAGGGGCACAGAGTTAGTTTCAAAAAATAAATATATAAATAAATAAATAAATAAAGATGGCATTTCTCCTCAAGCAGCTTGGTTTCCATGAGATCTTCCTTCAGCCTGGGGCAAAAATTCCCCTTCCACCCCAAGGCAAAAACCAGACTTACCATGGGAGTGAGGGCTGAGGAAGTGCCCTGCTTGGACACAGCTGCCTGGTACTTGGCCAGCCTGTCCTTTATGGAGGTCTCTGAAAAACGAGGCATGTCCAGGCTCCTCCTGGGATCTGCCCTGTCCACACTCAGCCCTGGGATGGTCTCTGCAAGATGCCCTGGCAAAAAAAAAAAAAACAAACAAAAAACCCACATGAATAATGTTATTCCCTGTGCTTTGGTCTCCTGTGCTTAAGAGTAGAATGGTTTAAAATTCCCAGCAAGGCTTCACACATCAAATGGGAATGGTTTAAAATTC